TCTTCGCCATCCGGAGCTTCTTCTCGATCTCAAAGCGCGTCTTCAGAACCTCTCGTTTCTCGGACCGATTGAAGAGCTCCTGTTCCCTCTCCTTCTCAGTCATGAGTGACAGTCTCTTCTGGTCGTCTTCGTCGCCCAACAGGTTCTCGTCGTAGCCGTCGTTGAACTCCTCGACGTCCTCGTCGTCGTCCTCCACCTCTCCCTCCTCTCTCTCCTCACTCTCCGCCTCCTGTTTGACGGTTCGCTTCGCCTTCTTCTTGGTCTTCACTTTCGACGTCTTCTTCGCATTCCAGTCGCCGTCCTCTCCATCAGAACTCGACGACGAGTCGCTCGACACACGACTCGTCTTCGAGTGCGACACCTCTTCGTCCGAACTCTCAGACGAACCCTTCTTTCGTTTGGCCATCGCTTCTGGCAGTCAATCGCACTCTCGAGTCAACCAACCAATCGGTGACAGTCTTTGCGCTGAAGAAGTGGTCAATCATTTCAAAGACAATTAAAACGCATTTTCGTGGAGAATGTGACGACATTTGCAACACTTTTCACGTATTTTTGCCAATAATTCAAACAAAACCACAAATTATATCAATTAATGCTTACGTTTTGGACACCAATTGGGGATCCGATCGACGATTACTTCAATTAAAACTCAATTTAATCTCAATTTTTGGATTCAATTCACAAAAGAATTCATTTTTGACTAAAAATCCGATTTCTAGTCAAATATTTCCTATAAATTACGTCCAAATGGTGTGCTTTTGCCGCTAAATATCGATTCAGTCGTCCATTGATTGGTGTTTTGCTGTGATTTACAAATAGTTAATGTTTTAAATACAATTAAATGTGAATTCATAGCACAATCTAACAAACAGTTGACGTGAAATGAAAAAATTAAATAAAAAAGTGCTAAAAAACTCATAATCGATGCAAAAGAATGCGCCCGAACAGGGACTCGAACCCTGGACCCTTAGGTTAAAAGCCTAATGCTCTACCGACTGAGCTACCCGGGCAACAGTTACAAGTGTTGTCCACTATTCCCTATTTATTAATCACTGAAAATATGATCGCATAGAAATTTACAGTATATTAATATCCGGCAAACAGTCCTTGAATTAGTTAACATGAGATATGAGCCAACAATTGGACACCAATTGTGCATAAATTGAATAAAAATCATGTTTTATTAGGTCTTCTCTGGAATGCATCCGAAATACAAGAGAGTTAACAGAAGTTATCATTTAAAGCGAAGTCAATATGACTCAGAATTAATAGAAATTATTAATTATTCAATTAAACGGTTTATTAATTGAGTGATTGGTTTAAATCGTGAATTCTTAATAAAATCCTAATTTGTATGAAAACACTAGTAGTTATAGCTCTGAATGGAGGTGTCGTTCATCTTCACTGTGCTGTTGGCCCCAACACACGGATGGAGTCCTGAAGTCGAACGC